TATGTTCTTTCCCGAGACTCGAAACTATCTCTATGCCAAATTTTATCAAAATCGGTTGCGAGGTTTAAGCGGGAAAGCGTAACAGACAGACAGACAGACAGACAGACAGACAGAGTTACTTTCGCATTTATAATATTAGTTGGGATTAGTTGGGATTTAAGTAATGTGATTTTGATTTAAGAGCATGATAGATTTGAAATAATTTGAATATTGATGGATTTTCAATAGGGTTGATATAAAACTTAAAAATTGAGTTATGAGCATGATAGATTTCAATATTTATTCAGATTTTCATTGAAAATTAATTACTGAATCAATCTAATATCTTTCAGGGGCGCAAAAAACGTTTTAAACAATTTCAGACACAGACAATAATGTTTATTTTGAGATAGTGACTTAACATGATTTTTTGGCCGATCTATCTCTTAATAAACTCCGTAGGCTTAAGTTTAAAATGTTTCTTTTTTCGTGTAACTGTTGATTTTTAAACGTAGTAATTATTGCGGTTAAAAACTTCATTGAGCAAGTGTAGCCTACGGCGAATCGACCGAAGATAAAATTAACGCACGACGCTGAATAAAAATACATAATTAATTCAACATTTAAAATACGCAGTATTGTCAAACACACGGGCTATTTTAAAGTAATTGGCAAAGCCTTGAATCAACGGATTCACAACGTTGGGACAAAAGATAGGCGATAGATATAAACAACAGTCAGGCCGAAAGCGCACCCACAATAATAGCCTAGGATTGACTCCGGAATCGCCTGGCCCCGGCGCCAACTCGCTACCCACTCACCACTGTTGACATCTTGAACGATTATACAGGGTGTCAACTTTAACAGTGAAGTCAGATAAGTGTCCCGAAACTATATCATTAGCTTTTTTCTGGCAGTGAAAGCCGGACTTGTTTTATTTCTTTTCATTTGGGACAAATATGCGAACATCAGTCTTCACCAACACTTCTGGCCAGTATTGTATGCCAAAACCTCTATTGAAATTAGAGATACCTATTGTAAATTACTTAGAGCGGGTCATACTCCTGGAAAGTAAATTACTGATGATGATGATAGTCACATGTTATTAACTACGAACGAAATAAGTTTTATTGTTACCCTTTATTTATGACTGTATTAAGTTTTATAGTCGACTGAACCTAAGATACCACAATATTTAGCTTGGGGTTTTAGCTTGATGTGCTGTCTTCTGTGCATGCCATTACTAATTTATTTTTCACAAAGGAGCTGGCGCTTGCCATATGAATATTTTTTCAATGCAAAAACTGTAAAGAGGAATGTAAGCCCACGCTCCGCATCATTACCTACATTGTTGCTAAATTGCAGTACACTTATAAGGGCGCAATTAAAAAGTAATTTAAACACATTGAAATCGGTAAATTATAAGTGCGTAAGTACCTAGCATGATCATTTGTGTTTTAAATACATACAAAGTGACATTATCTGAGTAATGTAATAATAATCTGAAAAATATAAATCAGAATGTGTACTAATATGCCAATTTATCACTGCCGATATACTTTGAGGTCAACACCCAGATAGCAAGTAAGACGATATACGACATGCACTTTTAAATTCGTGTGCAAGCTCACACGAATTCTGGCAGCATTTCGCAGTAATGATAATGTCCATAAAACATATTCAGCCTCGCGCAGCATTCTGCATAGCAATTAGAGCTGTAAGTAGATAATAATAGAACCGCGCAGCGGTGCACTTGCTCCGAGACTGGTAATTAGGTTTTTTCGAGTCGGCGCGGGCGTTCCCTCAGGAATGCAGTCCGGACCCGTCCAACAGCTGAGCGTGATGTAACGATAACCGTTCTTATCGCCTGAATGGACGTCACACGTATAGATAACTCGCAGAGATAGCGACCGATTAACGCTAGATTTTGGTAGAGTCAGGTTTGTGTCAAAACAACGTTGTTTTTGTAGATCTATTTACAAGTCAAAATGCCTCGAGTAGGCACTTTATGTACTTAAAATATTTGCCTCTATGCGAAATGGTATCTGCATTTAACACGAAAACATTTTTGATTGGTGCCTAGTCAATGGACAGGTTTTAAGAGACATTTTCCTAGCAGCATCATTACAGCTGAAATTTTTACCATAAGATTTTTATACTTTACCCTGTATGTTTTAGAGCGTATTAAGTCATATAATAATGCGACGATCAGGTCTTCCCAACCTGTCTGGTCAGCGTGGGGAGCGCATGCCAAATCCTCCAATTGCCGACATCAGGGAGGGTTAGGCTCCTACAGTAGAAACTAATTGACCTGATGATGATCATAATGATTACGCGCTTGTAGTACTGTAAAAAGGTTAATCTCACTCTGCGTTTTGGTTCTGATTGAGGTCAAGCGTTCATTCGTTATAAAATTTAACAATTAATTAATTACTTACTTGGCTTTGTCGTCATCTTGATTGTCCTACAAACTTTGTACTGATGTCAGCCGCCACGACATTGACACAGATAGAAATGTTGTCACAGAGATAGCGGAGCCGTTATAATAAATCTTGTTGTCTGATAATACCAATATCTGAAACAAATCAATAAGTTGGTAAAAGGTACTTACAAAGTTATTAAGGTACTATTATAACCATTGCTTATTGAGGATTTAACAGATACGGAATGAACACGTGTTTGTTAAAATGACATTAAACTGAAAAAGTTAAGATCGCAAGTTCCTGATTTAAGTGCAATGTTTGATTTAAGGGTGCCAGAATACCATAACATTGAACTATGACTATACAATCCATACTGATATACCCTAGATGATTATTACACGAAAGTAGGTAATCTGAAATGTTTATTTTAACAGCAGTCGAATAATGTTTCAAACACTACAGTGTTACCAAACAAGTTATGGGTGAATATCCCAAACACGTTTTTTACGCGGCGGAGCTGAGAATCGATGGGAGAAATGTAACTAGAGCGATGATTTTTTTTCTGTATATAGTTTATACAGCGTTTTACACGATAGCAAAGTCTTCAGGACAATAGGTAGTTATTTTATGTACTAAAAAAAATTTTAAAGACCCAAAATCTAATAGCGGTGGCGCGTCCTAACTCTATTTCTACTCATAAATTGTGTTATTCCTTCTTTCTCGGGGATTCTAGTAATTTAAAAATAGTATAGCCATAAAATACATTAAATAAGACTTCCAAATGATATGAAAGAAATGTGATATTTCATATTTTAAGTGTTTTAAATAGCCTTTCAAAACTGTCCCACGAAAAAAAGCAATTACAGTGGCTCAATTTCGACACTCTCTTACTTCTCCAAAGAAGCTTTGAGAGACGTAGAGTTCTTCTTCCCTGCATCACTCAACTGTGTCCTCCTGATCGGGCTATAAAGACTTGCGACTTGTGGTATTGTTTTTCCAGCAGACCCACACCAACCTGGGGCAGTTGGTCGCCCTCCCGGGACTAGAGTTGGTTTCTGGGTTTGAGGGTCATGTATGATGTCTTTGTGATGACTCTAGAATAACGGGGCTGTTGGCGGCTAGAGCCAGAAAGTTTTGGATTTGTTCTCTATGAAGGGATTTTGCCGTTATCACCATGCTTAGCAGGCTGGTTGGTAGTTCCAGTATGGTAGTATAATACCCGGAAAGATGCTGCAGCCCACCCTCCAGTATTTTGATTCCTTAGTCGGCTATTACGACTCACGTGGGAAGATTTGATGCTTTTTTAGGGTCACAACACAGGCCTGAATATTGTTTTTAATTATAAACATCTTTACTGGATAGTAATACTTAATTGATTACAAATAAATAAGTAATTTGAAACAATCATCCGTAACATTCCGAAGTCCGCTGTATAAATAAATTTCGGTGGATTGGTTCTTAATTCCGGTGGCTCAAATACAATTTCGGTGGCTCTTGATAATTTCAAATTGACATATCTCGAGAAGTATTAATAATATTTTGATCTCTACATATCATTGAATAATACAAGTTATTTACTATTATTTCTGCCACAAAAAAGTTTAGGAAAGTGGAAATTAAAATTCGCCACCGGAATTAGGCAAAAAACGAGTTTGTTGATATTCACCCTTATGCTAGATACGACTCAGTTTTATTACTCACACACACATTTTGCACGGTTAACTACGAGGTTAAGTAATTACAAATTCAACATTAGTAAGTCCAAATTCCCATTTGCCTGAAAACAGCGAGGAAAACGTCGTTTGAGTCAGTGGGTGACATCACGCGTGATGCGTGAATAAATTCACACAGCAGAAACCGTGCTAATAGAAACTAGCAATTTTACTAACTAGCTGATTTGAGTAAATTTTTGATGAAAAGCCAAAAAAATATAAACATACTTAAATACCTTTTTTTTGTAAATAGGTACATACATATTATAACTTCATATTGAAACAGTAAAATCTCCGTTTGAGTCAATTTTTACCCCACTGCAAAACAATTTCATGGCAAATGTGACCAAGATTGGATTTTACATGAGGTAGAGCCATGCTTCTAACTCCCTAACTTCACAAACTCTACAACCCAGTCAAAATATGTAAATTAGCCGTTTCGTTACTTCAAGAACTATTGTAATATGTAAACTACAAAATTGCCAGTGTCTATTGCCACGGACTCTACATGTGCGTTTCTACGAAGTTGATGACTCTTCAGTAGTTTACACTTATAGAAGTTTTTATTTATTTATTTATACTTTAATGCCAAAATTGTAACATAAGGCGAACTTAATGCCATAAGGTATTCTCACCCAGAACATCCAATACAGAAGTTTTTAAGTTTCAGATTATTTTATAGTTGTGGTTAATTAAGTAATTAATGTTTATTTTCTTAAATGGTTAATTTAAGGTTTATAGAAACCATAAATTGCCTATAGAGGCATCGTTCCGGCGATACAGTCAATGCTGTATTTTAACATTTTGTTAAAAATAATACAGTTATGTAATAATACGGGTACACAAGATACTACAGTATCTAATATTTCCTTTTTATTTGTTCCAGATCAATTCTGCTGAGACCAGACATCTCATTGTGGTGTTATAGTTAGTGCTACAGAAAAATAAATCAGTACGGTAAGATAACTTTAACTAACACTGGTACAGTCAGCGTCAAATAGTTCGTGACACCCCAAGTGGCCAAAAAGTTTAACACACAATTTTATTCCAATGAGGGCTATCGTTTTTATACTTAACAGTTGGCACCCCTGGCGATTGACAGGACCTTACTCTACAGTGGCGCCATCTTGATGAGTGCAAATTCGATAGTCCTCCTACCACTTTAGCGCTCACAAGTTGGCGCCACTGTCTTCGCTACTAGCAAGTGACAGGACCTTACTCTACAGTGGCGCTAACTGGTGAGCGCTAAAATGATAGCCCTCATTGTAACAAAGACGTTGCGAACTTTTTGGTTACTTTGGGTATCACTAACTATTTGATGCTGACTGCACGTTTATAACAGAATATTAATTCTTTTTTTTTTAATTTAACAGCCGTAGGTCATAAGGATCTCTGCTGGCTAATTAATATTGAAAGTTTAACTCTCGCAATCAATAATTTACTTAACAAAACATGATCATTTGTCAGACAAACTGACGAAATAGCCATTTAAATTGATAATCCAATTTAGTCACCACCGGGCCGCGTTCTGAATACCAACAACTTAAATGTAAGGACGGAAGGACTTGCCTATTATAAACGAAGTTCAATGTTCCCAATGACGTTATAAAAAGACCAATTTCCAAGAAACTTTTGAATAATTTAGTGTGCCGAAAGTCAATTGCGTATTCAAGTTGAATAAACATTTTATAGGCTTGATTAAATTAAGTTCACACAAAAAAAAACATAAGGTCCTCGAGATTTTCGACTAATTTTTAAGGCTTATGGTCAGGGACTATTTTTTGAAAAAAATCTGTTGCACCTATGTAATCAGGATAACAAAATAGTTATTAATGAGTCTAGTACTCATAATACAAGCTTTGCTTAGTTTGGAACTAGAGGCGCAGTATAAAATGTCAAAGGATATTTTAAAAGTATTAATGGTAATGTTATTAGTAGGCTAGAGCACCCAATCCAAAACTTCAAGAAATCTTGATATCGGTGATTCTCAATTTAAAATAATAATATTCTAATTGATTACAAATAGCTAAAACGTAGGCTTATTTTACAGTAAAGTTACACTGTTTCATTAAAGTCGTATTGTGATAATTTTAATTTGTGCACTTCAGATATGAATACCAATACGTTTTTAATCAATCGAGTCGATGGCTTGACATACAAATAGGCTTACTTAATAACGTGTGTGTCCGATATCTTATGGGCAGCTTTGATTGTCTCAATCTGTGGTTGCTGACTCACATTCCCGGATGCATGCTTAATAAATATTCATAATATTTTTTCCAAGGCTCTACGTGTCTGCCACTAATAAAATATCTTGTCTAAACAAAGTCACCCATCCATGACTTTTTTAACGAGACGGTAAAAGAGCTCGTTCGTCATAGCGCGAGCCACATGGAGATACATAATTTCTTTTCTTGAAGTTGCCGCCGATCCTGCTAGAGATAAAATTCCAACTGTATTTCATCCAGTATTAGTAAGAATGTAAATGTATCCGTTTAATTGGCGCTGCATCGCCGCATCTGCATGAAACAATAATCAAGCAAAGTCCTAATCATCGAGCGTTTAATGCTGGTTTCATTTTATAGAAATAAATATTATACTTGTCAATAAATAAGTATTGTGCACCGGCTACAGCAAGATGAAACGTGATAAATTGTATGATGTGACCATAAAAACCACTTTCCAATCACGAGAGTCAGACACGTCAGGTCATTCCGTCGAGATTTGAGCCGAGCTGATACGATAAAAACTCCGTAAAATGGCCGCTTAGCTATTGTGATGACGCGCAGCATCGGGTGAATGACACCTGACTCACGTCCTGCAAGCACTCTTTTCAACACACTCGTACAACGACAACAGAACCGAAAATACAAGTTCACAGCATTTTGCATAACCTCCAAATTCGTCCCTGAACGGAATATTTATTATAATAAATCATTTAAATAGCCCAATTGTAGAGTTGACAAAACCAGATCACACAAGCTAAACTAGTTCTATCATCCGTCGAATTATATTCATAGCGGCTACATTAATGCTTGTCGTTTATTTATTTTAATATAGATAATCTCAAACGACCTTCTCGGGGAAAGTTGTAGAACTGGTTAAACAGACGTCGAAACAATGATGACGTTATGACCGCTAAATAAAATAATAACGTAGCCAAGCTGTTTGGATTGCAGCTCTATCTTGTGCTTGAATGCTACGTCTAACTAGTATTTAGTACATAAATAAACTGTGATTCGCCTTTCCAGTACTACTGTTTACCTACAGCAAAAACAAACATGTTTTAAAAGGGGAAAAGGAAAACAATCTCGTAAAATGATACATCATTTTACCTTAACTTCACAAACACAATGAACATTCATTGTCTCTCTCTCTCTACTGACTCATTTTACAGCGCCTGATTGTTATGACTCTTACTTTGAATCACATTTTTGTAAATTCGATCACAAAGTTAAATGTTAAAAAATAATCTTCATTGTGATACCAACGTGATTATGCCACTTAATATATTATAGTTTGAAAGAGCTTTTCAAAACTTAATAATGATACCCGTTGGCAAACCTCGCCAAAAAGACTACGGCCATAAATACGATTTCCAAGATAACATTAATTAGGGTTCTAAACACCGCCTTCGAATATTATAAATCCACTGGTTGGGTTGACGGAGGCCGTATTAGGGCAGCGCTTGCGCATCCAACGCGTTTGATTAATGCATCCTGGTAAAAAACTGCATAAATAATGAAACCTAACAATGAGTTTTGTGGTCGGATCTCGGATTTACGTCTCGGAATGAAAGCCACTAATGATGATTGTAAGAATTAGCAGACCAAGTTCACTAACAATTAGCTACTCTCCCTGATATCGGCACCTTCAGAGTTTTAAAAACCGATACATTACTTAGGCAAGGTACTTAAAATGAAGTTTATTCGCTATCTAGGTAGGTACTTAGTTTGCATTTTTTTGCACTAATCAAACAATGTGAGTTTCGCTTTAATTGTAATACGGTATCAAGAGATTTGTACTACAATGTAAAAACGTGCTACGGTCATCACCAATGATTATAAAATTGTTGGTTTTCTGTATTCTATAAAGTACCAACTTATTTTCATTTAGCTTAGATGTAAATGCATTCAATTTTATTTTTAAAATGTTATTAATATTTAAACAAAGTGACTATTGCCTCCATAGATTCATAATCAAACAAAAATAAAATTACGGCGGTAAATTATGATTACGGTATCTAAGCATTTCATTAAACTTATCATTTATAACATAATACATATATTCAAAACTAATTGACATTTACAATAGTAATTCTTTACCAAGCTCAAAAAAAGCTTGTATCAAAGCTATTTTCTATTCGGTCATAGAGTAAACATCGAAATGCATACTGGGAGTAATGCTACGCCGTAGCAGACTACGATGCTTTAATGCGGTGTTTATGGGATCTACTACAGCTGCGTTACGGCGTAGCACCATAGCAACTTGCATTATACGTTCTTAACACCATGATTATAATATCTTTTTAATGTACAGACATATTAATTGCGTGTGCGTTTAGTATTGATTTATAGTAAATTTTAAATTCCTGCCTCGTTGCTAGAGGGGGATAACTACAAATAAGAACATACAACAAATTATAATTATGTTTTTAAATAACAGTAAATAAAGCATAGTAATAACAGTTTATGGTAGGTACTGCCGTTATTGTATCTCTTATGAATTGAAAGGAACTCACATTTTAATTTGCAAAATGTAATGTGCAAATCTAAAAGCATTTACGTTGGGTTCCAAATCTACATTTGATTTTGGCTGCACTGCATCGTTAAGCCATCCCACGCAAATATTCCTTGAATCTGGCGGTACTCATTCTTTGATAATTTTATTTTATGAAAATCCGGTTAAATAAGCTAAAGAAAGAAACACGAATTCGTTTTGTTACTTTAAAATAAAACCGTTTAAAAAGTGTTTTTACTTTCCGATATTTTTAATGTTATTAGTTTTCTTGATTGCACTAATATTCCTTGATACAACATCAATATTTTGCACGAAACTGGTTTATTGGTACTGTTAAATATTAATTCGTGAAAAAAGTTAAGTTGTGCAGGCTAATACTCATTATCTAATTCCAAGAACCGGCGGGTAGCGCCCGCGCCGCGACGACGCTCGCTGACGCGTTGCATCCGCCATTTTGTGCCCAATAAAGTTCTTTTAATTTCATTTTCATGTAAGTAGTTTGTATAATATAATAATAGTGATATAACTTTGCTGTCTTCGTTCATATAATGTATTTTTATGACTCTAATTAATAAATAAATAAATAATAAATATCCTTGGACATTTTACACTACGCCGCTAGCCCCAAACTAAGCAAAGCTTGTACTATGGGTACAAGACAACGGATATAAACATACTTAAATACTTTTTTTTTGTAAATACATACATATTATACATAGAAAACACCCAGTCCAATACAAACAAATATGTTCATGCACACAAATGTTTGTACTGTGCGGGAATCGAACCCGCAACCTCCGGAATAGTAGTCCGATTCGAACCACTACACCAAACGGCCGACAAATTGAAATTGGTTACAAGAAAAAAGGTATAATTTTAAGATTAAACATAATATGAATATTCAACACGCACTGTTAAAGTGATGACGTTATTCGTATACTCGATTTCAGCCGACTCTACATGTATGCGAAACCCTATTTGGAGTTAAATATAGCTTTAGGTAACAAAAACAACGAGTATCGCATATCAAAATTTGCACACTAAACAACTGACAGCGGCCCACATGCCCGTATTTTATTAAACAATCAAACAAGGCTAAAGGAAAGGTCGTCAGTCGTAATCGTCACGCTGAAATCGGTGTGGACGCGACACTCGCGCCGCACTCGGGCCGCGCGCACGACTCGTTCCCGCCAAAACGGGCGCAGGCTATGGCGCGAAGGCTCGCGATTGGCCGCCGCGTGCGGCAGCGGCGCTCGCGCAAGGCCGCCGGTTTTCCCGCGAACAATGCCAAATGGTGCATTTGTCAAGGTGAGTTCGTTCACCGCCGACGCTCGGCGCCGCACGCCGCTCGCCGCGCGCTCCTCAAGCAATTCGTTCACTAGCTCACTTAGCCGATCGAAGGTCGACAGAAGTCAGCCAACCGAGCACCTACTCCGCGCTGAATCTACATTCATTAGCATCAGCCGTGTATTACAGGTGAAAATTATCATCGATTTACTATTTTACTTGGTAACAGGGCAGTGCTCTAGCGATTTCATTTATTTATTATCTGCGTATCTAGCGATATATCGCGTATTTGCTAAAAAACTATATTAGACATTTTACCGATGAGTCATTGTAATATAATTTATTTGTGTAACATGTTTTTCTTTTTTGCTAGTTTACATTATAACTTAACATGTAAAAACTCTTATTTATTTTTGTGTAATAACAGTCTGTTGAGCTGTAACTTTTATAAATTTTTTACGTCATTTAAATTTTTTTTCTTAAGTCTTAGATATAATCTAGTAGTATAATTTAGTAGCTCAGCGACAATCACTAAATATCGCCGGCAACAGAAGAAGAACACAAGAGAAGAAAGAAGAACAGTATCAAGTGCTACGCCCGGACGAACTTCCCAGTTCGGCCGACATACACGGGTCGGTGGGATCTTCGTCCGTTTGTATCGCTTATACGTATGTTCCACATTCACCGGCTGCTGAAGACAGTCTAGAAGTCAACGCGACGCAACAGTCACGTCCCTGAAGAATTACGCGATAAAGCAAGAATCTCGTCACTGGGTGGACGTCTGAATCACCGGACTAAAAACTTGTCTGCTTTAATCATTTCATGTTTATTCCGATCGAAGTACATTTAGATATTATGTAAATCATTGTTAATTTATGGAATATCTGTGTTTTAAATTTAATGTCTCAGGAATTTGCGATTACGCAACAATCATATTAATATTGAGTTTGATATTGATGTTTTTACGAAAGATGTAAATTCTCATAATTAACATTGCATTGCCTTTATTTATAAAGGGATTTTTATATTCAATTATTTAAGCATAACCACAATATTGTTACCAAAATAAGCTAAAACACCTGTAAGATAGAGTTAACTTAGACAGGGTGCAAATTGCAATAAACTTGCTAATATGTATGTATGTATGTATTAATTTTATATTAAATACAGGTTTAAACCGTCCTACAAACAAGTTGTTTATCATCGCCTATCACACTCATGGACAATTGTCCTCACTTACCTATACCGATTGTAACTCATTGAGGTTAAGTTAAATGTATTTTAGTTGCTAAGTAAGGACCCTAAATTGCAATTTGTAACATGATTAAAATTTTATTACATTTTAATTGTTCAAATTGAATAAATGAAAGCCTTAGTATTCTGGGAAGCTTAACAAGAAGATAGAGCAAACCAATGGTTTTTTCTTAGTATCGAATACATATGACACGTATCAGTCCTGGATCTGTCAATAGGCCGTATAGGCCGCAGCCTAGGGGCGGCAGCGTCCTAAGGGCGGCAGATTTCAGATGACGCTTACTCGATTTCAGAAGATAAAAGTTAAATAAAGATCCAACCCCACCCTAGCCTACGGGCGGCAAAACTGTAAATCCGCCACTGACACGTATTGAAATAAACAAAATGTCTTAGGTAAAATCATACTCCGAACAACGATGGACAGTATATTACTTACTTAAACTACGTGTATGAAAGAAAGCCTAAATTAAAATCTGTAAATCAGTTTTCATGAAGAGATGTTTTTCCTTCCTCAAAAAGAAAATGTCTTAGAAGTTACATAGAATAAATTAATACAAGAGGTACTTACATAAGAATTTCATGAAGATTATAGGCGACTTCATAAAGGTAGCAGGAAGGCGCTGTGCAGGCCACTACCAACCGGCCAATCTGGATATCATTGGAAGGAGTGGATGTTCAGCAGTGGACGGCCTGTGGCTGATGATGATGATAATGCTCGAATTCTGCAAATTAAAACAAATTCATTAACAAAAAGATAAAATCAAATAAAATTAATACTTAGATAATTGAAGTAAAGACAATGAAATGACAAACATTGAACTTCATAGGAAATATCAATTTAGAGACCTTACCTCGGACGGGCAGTTCATCAGCCTTTGCTCAGGTTGACACTTCATTTTGGTCCTTCGAGCACAAATGCTTCGCCATTCGCAGCATACATATATGTAGGCATATAGATTCTTTTTTCTTCTGATTGTATCATTATAACATTAAAGATGTTCAAGATAAGCAGAAGCAGTGTTAAAACTTAAAAGTAACACGCGAATCGTCTTCTTCCTCTGTTTAATCTCTTGACTCATTTTTAGGTTCGCTTTCACTTTAAAGCCACGGATACACTAGGGGACAAAATCGAGCAAGTTGCAGAACAAATTCATGCCGCGCTGTGATATTCCCGGGGACAATGTTGCGGGACTTTGCAGTCGTGTTGCAGGGATGTTACCATCATGTCCCGGGTAACGTATAACGTTGCACGAAGCACTGACGGACAGTTTGAGAACGTTACTGCCACACGTAGAATCTGAGTTGCACATTTTGCCCCCTAGTGTATCCGTGCCTTAAAAGATTTAAATGTATTTTATTAGCATCTGATTATAAATATTTTTGGATATGTAAACACTAAAATATATTTTAATAAAATTATAACTTACATGGTTACAACCACATCCTGACAATATCACACTCTGGTCTCCGACTCATAACAGGAAAATCTGACCCCTTTAGATATTGGTAGAACCCCCGAATCCGCGATCAACTTCATAACTAACATGAACGGGATTATTTCAAATGCGTCTTTCTTTATTTTATTATGAAAATACCTACATAAAACTATTCTATTTTTAATAACGTTTGAGGGCAAAAGGGTATATGGTCATGGTGTTTTATCATGTTTCCCATCTTTACCACCCATAAACAATCTGAACCAAATGTGTTTTACTCAACCTACTCCAGACTATGCCAAAAAGCAGTAGAACTAAAGGATTAAGGAATTTGTAAGTGGAGGAAGAAGGAGGAAGAGTAACAACGTCATGTAGGATTTACATAATTCAAAGGAGCCGAGACCTTAATCCAGCAATGGGAAACAGTTGGCTTCATTAAAAGTATTATTTCAAATAAAATAATTATAAACAAATTGAATAATGTATGTTTTTGACATTTGCAAAAGGCATCATTTACCTACTAACACCGCGCAAAGTCTCACGCCGCGTATTTTTATCAAAATTATTCATTTTATAAAAACGAAATCCATGTTATGACTTATAAAACATTTGCATTCAATGTTTAAAAAACTTTACACCGGAGGATTCGTGCATAAAACTAACAAGTGATTTCGTAATATTTGTTTTAGTATTTTTTGATATAATACTTCTCCTTCGCAAATAAAACTACCAAACGTGTAAAGAACGAGTGAGAACATTAATAAATTGTCTTCCGTTTCTCGCTTTCGTGGGTCGTTATAAATAGAAGTTGCGCGTCGCAGCGCAGTTACGTATCTCGTTAGTCAGCCTATTATTTTGCGCCTGCGTCATACCAACGCAATGCTTGACTTCATTTGTTGTTCTCTCCGAAACACCACACTTTTGTGAACATCTATTAGAATAAACGTTCACTAGCATTATCTATTTTCAATACTTAAAGTTAATATAAATGGTATGGTAGGATTATAAAGAAAATAGCATTTTTAAACAAATCAATATTATTTCCAATAAATTTATCAGTACATCCACATTGAATGCATTATTAATTTTACTCCATAAAATACAACATAAAAGTCTTCGACAGACGGAAACTAAAATTAAAGAGTATAAGATACAATCTATTTACAGTAAGGTTTAAACACAAAATAAAACATTGAACATAACAAAATCAGTGCAACAATAAAATAATAAATATTTAAAGACTGTGGACTTCAACGTGGTAAAGTTATATAATTCTAGAGATATTATAATAAATTGTTAGTTATACAAGTTTGTTACAAAATTATCTATTGGCCTTCACATCACAGAGCTAAGCGAGCCAGCGCAGCCACGGCTTGACGGCCCCGTGAGTCCGCCACTACAAGTTACAACCCAAAGACAACGCGATCGACAAACGTATGAAATGTCAGAGATGCACGTTAAATGCGCAAGAAACCTGACCGTCGTTAACTGATCATTTTTATTTGTAAATAAGATCTAAAAGACAGTGTAAAAAACACAGGAGCACAAAAAGTCATGCAACCAAGTCTACCTCGATTCTAAAGACTAGAAAAATGCAAACGATTCGAAGAGCAACTGCCAAGTGGTCGACGAGTAAATGCCCACGGTCGATAACCTACGCAATGATATGTAGCGCCACTCGGCGGTAACACACTACAATATTGTAAAACAGTCAACAAGGGAACGGGACGCTCCGTAGTCCCGGCGCCGCTCGGCTGAAAATTTCGATAAACCTCGAACAACAATAATTTTATAACTTAGGACAGTCGTTAGGCCTTAATATAAAATTTACATTTATTTATTATGGCAGATATCAACAATCAATTTATATCTATCAAATACGATACCGACACTTTTTACAGAAACAACACTAGGGTATATACATGCGATAACAACGCGCACCGACACCCGCGGCGCGACGCTGGCGATGGCACTCCCGAGCCGCGCCCGCCCGCGCCGCCATTATAAACGCATTCACCGGGCCGAAGGCGTGAATTAAACCGACATCTATAACGTATTACTAAAATTACTCTAATCCATAAATACACCGAAGCCCTCGGCCGACGACGGCGCGTAATATTCGAACAGGTACTGGAGGCGGCGCGAGTCGGTCCGGAGAGTTCGTGTTCGCTCGTCACGAAGGAGGTTCGAGGGGGAGAGTGAGCAAAGAGTCGAGGGGAGTCCGCACGGCGCGGGCGCGGGCGCGGGCTACGCGTACCCGGGCGGGTCCCACGTGGCCGTCAATCAGGACAGCAGCGGCAGCAGCGCGTAGTACAGGCACGCGGCCAGCAGCGGCACCAGCAGCGCCAGCACGTGCGCGAGGCTGAGGCGCGCCACGGGCTTGTCCTGCAGCTGCGCCAGCTGCGCGGCGAGGCGCGCGCGCTCCTCGGCCACCTCGGCCCAGCGCTCCTTGGCGCGCACCAGCTCCTCCTCGAGCGCGTGCAGCGAGCCGTTGCGCAGCGTGACCTGCAGGCGGCGCTCGTCGTCGAGCCGCACGAACTCGCCGGCGGCGGTGTCGGCGTCGGCGTCGAGCGAGCGCTCGTCCTTAGTGATCTCGGTGACGGCCGAGTCGGTCTCCTCGTCCTCGTCGTCGTAGTCGAGGCGGAACATCTCGTCGATCTCGGCGGAGATCTGGCGCGCGTCGATGTTCTCGGCGGGCGGCTCGTCGGCGGTGTCGACGGCCTTGTCGGCGGTGGGCGCGGGGGCGGGCGCGGGGCGCGCGAGCAGCTCGGCGCGCAGCTCGGCGAGCTCGGCGGCGAGCTGGTCGGCGTCGGCGCGCGTGGGGCGGAAGGCGAGCTCGGCCTGCAGCTCGGCGGCGTTGGACGCGAGCCGCTGGATCTCCGCCAGGTTCGCCTCCTCCGCCACCGTCGACCGCGTGAGCTGGGCCTGCGAACGAAAAATATTTTAAAATAGGCGTATATGACGTTTTTGTGACTGACAACACTTTTGAACTTGACTTTCTATCACTTTTTCTCGCCTAATTCCTACACCAAATTTAATTCAACTATTGCAGTTTGTTTGCATGGAAAATAAAAAAAATACTAAAAATATTACATATAAGAGCACAACTCTTATTCTCTCTTAATTTCCGTGCCCTACAGGGCCCAAAATGTTCTAATTTTAAGTACATAAAATGGATGCAATTAAATGTTGAGTATTGAAATAAAAAATGTATTGCAGAATACAAACGATTTTTATGAAATTCCAGCTCTCACTTTCTACTTATTTATTGACAAAAATTACAGATCCATAATTCTTATTGCTTGTTTATGATTCATCAGTCACTTAATCACTTATAGTTGAAAAATACAACTGCATTCTCGATTTAATTGTGCTGTCCGTGCTTCCTTCTGATCAATAAATCTCAAAATTTTACTTTTGCTTTTCAGATCTGAGAAGTGATAAAAGAAATGCCCGCAGTGGATTACGCTCGCAGTGCGGGCCTGGCCGCAAGCAGTTCGTCGCGAACAGTCTACTGCCACTCGCCCTCCCTGGTGACGCTCAAGGCTAATTACCCTTTAGGCAAGCCGTGGACATAATATTGCCTCCCACATTTTGAACTGCGAGCTGCGGTAATGATAGAGATAAAAACGAATGAAAATATTTTTTTCTGAAGCTCTGTACACATGCAATAGCCGCGATGTTATGTTTTGGGGTTTTGGATGGTTCTCATTGGCGAGACAATCAAGGCATGGTTTCCACCAAGGCCGAGCGAAGTGGACTTTTTTTTTTAATAACCAATGAGATCAATGACAATGAGTCAATTTCATTCAATCAGATTGACATCGGTGGCCAAATTTTCACGTAACAAAACATAACAAAACCTTGGTGGAAACCGGGCTTGAGGCGGTAACCAGTAACGGTGCGATTATCGCTGTGTGAACCAGGCTTAAGGGCCAGGCTGTAGGCGGCGGCGTCCTCGGGGCTCGTCGTGCGGACGTTCCGCAGCTGTTCGTTCTCGGAGCTGGTGGTTGAGGCTAGGTACCTGCAGGTCGGCGATGCGCGCCCTGTAGGCGGCGGCGTCCTCGGGCTCCACGGCGGGCGGCTCGTCGCGCGCGTCGCCCTGGGCCGCCAGTAACTCGTCGCGGACGGTCCGCAGCTGTTCGTTCTCGGAGCTGGTGACGTTGAGACGCTCGCGAAGGACCTTGATCTCTTCGTTGAGACCGGCCATCACGCGGAGGATGTTCGCGTATTCGACACCAGCTTTACTCTGTGGAAATAAAAAATATTTTTAATAGATACTGTTTTTTATTTATCTTTGCCTATGTAAAAGATATTGCATAAACTTCCTGCCAGATATCCCAAAAGTAGAGGCCTATATCCATACGATTCATAATACATTAGAAAAGCAATATTTCACGTAGAATAAGAGACATAATAGTGGTGAAACTTAGACAACTAACAAAAAATAAAACCACTGCTTAGGGTAGGCAATAAATTCTAGTCTGACACAAATCAAAAAATATGACGCACCACTGCAATGATGTAAATAACAACGCCATCTACACTAGTTCAAAGAAAATCACTGGAGCTATGGAAGTAACAGATAAACATAATATAGTTGTTGCAATTCATGAAGGCGAGTGAGCTTTACACGTGGCTCGCTACTTTTCGTTTTTCATAAGTTTTGATAGACATTGCACTGTCGTTATGTGTATGTACATTGTACACGTACACACACAAGTAAAGTTCACTAGCCTTCGTTGGTTGCAAGAACTATAGCTCAATCGAATGGATTATTATATTAACTCACCGGCGATTCCTCCCTGTTGTCGGATTCGCTGTAGGTAGAGTTGGCGTTGTTGTCGGGGCGAAGCTCCCCGTCCAGCGGGCTGGGGCTGTCTTCGTGTCCTGGCTCTGTAACGGAATATCATCATCAGTCGGGCTAGGATGCGCTCCATGATATACTCTTATCGACGTCAAAATGTATGGGGAAAACCGATAAAATCGCGTGATAACCGCTTTTCGCGACGCGAATCCGAGGCCTACAGGTCATTTAGTCCGTAGGAAAAGACCCCTTTCTATTGTACAGAGGCAAATGGAGGATTTGGCCTTCACTTCCCACGCTGACGGGTTGGGGAATCAAGCACATGGGATAGGTAACTTAATCCAACTTTAAAGCAGCCTGACGGATACGTTTTATTTATTTGATCCGAGAAGGCAGCGTCAGAGAAACTTTCTGATATTACTTTTAACTTTAATATTCGATATTATAATTGCAGGAAATACTATACATACTATGCTATGGTTCAAAACAGAGATTGATCAGTCGGTATGACATCTACTTAATACAAATATTGATTAAGAACTACTAAGTAAGAGTGAAGCCGAACAAGAGTAATTTAATTTGAGTAGTTGATTGTGTAGTTTAAGTTGACTGAAGACAAAGTGTTCAGACTAAAAACAATAATAATGGTCGTTTTGCCGCACCCTTATTCTTACTTCTACTAAACTCAAATAACTGCAAAGTTTTCGCAAAATCATTTGAAAGAATTAACAAAATTACCATGATTCAAACGCGATTGTTTCTCATCGTCCGTGCAAGAGTCGGGCTCCCCAGACTTTTCCTCGCCGCTGCCTCCGACGCCGCCTTCTTCCGCCTGTTGCTTTTCTGCATACAAAACATCTACATCACTTTAAAATTCTATCTAAAGTCCAAACGTTAGAGTTCACAATCCAAAGCACAGGCAACTTTGCCTTTTACGAATATTAATAGCGCGTAAAAAACGAGGTCACTCACCCCTGGCTTCGGAGTTGTAAATGTTGTTCTTTTTCAGTATCAAATCGAACTCTTTTGCCGACTTGCCCTCAGCAGATAGCACTTTTATGCCAACCTAGAAAGGAGAGATGTAAATTAATATCACAAGGAAAAAATACACATAAACTTGTACGTTAAACTCTTCAGAATTAAATTATGAATAAAAATACTTTGCGACGGCAAGCTTTGAGAAATAAATTGAGTTTCCTTTTTATTTATTAATCCAATAACTGTTATTTATAACTTTTAAATTATAAAGGTTATGATACAAAATGTTGGCATAAGACAACAAATTAATAAAACTACAATGAGCGAGTCTTGTCATAATTAAGGCCAGATTTCTAGACATTTTGCTTATGAAATATAGGTAATTACAGTGCCCAATTCACGAGCATTTAGATTTAGACAAGCTATATTTTCATGACGAGTGCACAAAATATGGAGGCACATGTATCGTTGAATATACAGGAATTGTTACTACATGCCTTATTGTTTAACTTATTGCCACATTGTTTTTAAATAACTACCAGATTATTTTTATACAAAATTTTGCTTACTTATTAATGATTCTGCTATTCCCATGACAATTCAGTCTTGGTTGATTTAGAGCCCTATATTTTGTGTACAATTAATTATACATATTTTGGAGTAAAATGAGGTATATAGCATAGAGTTCTTAGGTTAATTTATGCTACACAAGAACATGTCTAGCCCATCAACTGCCAGTACATATTAATCAAGAGCAACATAATCGCATGCTGAATTTCACGCTCCATTAAGCGCGTAATACTGTGAGAAAATATGCAAGTGCAATGATCCAGTCGTTTCCGACAGCTTAAGCAATGGAATGTTCCCTTCAGATAATATCTATGCGACATAAATTTTCTGGATGTTGTAAGTAAATAATTATAATTCTGTTCAAACATTACATTAACGAACTCATCATCGTCATCTTTTCAGATTTTTCTACTGCTGAACATAGGTCTCTCCCAATGATTTCCTATAATGACCAGTTGGTAGTGGCCTGCGCTTTCCTGCTACCTTCATGAGGTCTTCGTTTTAATTAACGAACTATCGTGTAATATCATTAAATTAAGGCCCGATAAATTGTTACCGGCAATGGCAAGTGGCAGTTTAGGCCCGTTTTCCACCGAGGCGAAGCGGGACGTAGAAGAAAGGACATGTGTCGGGCGGACTATTTCTTCTATAGCAGGGGTGGCCAACCGGTCGATCGCGACTATTGGTCCAGTCGATCGTGGCAAGACAAAAAATACTACATGATTGTGTACTAAACTATGCTGTGTCATTTAAGATTTCAAGAAGTATGTAAGTTGTAGATCACCCAGTTAACCCAGTGTTTTGCCCTACACAATCAACAAAAACATGTCAACATTTTTTGTAGGCAATTTTGTTGAATGTTGATATGTTTTTGTTGATTGTTTAGGGCATAACACGCGCTGGAGACCCGGCTTAACAGAAGCATGTGAGGACTCACCTTGTTGAGAAGCTGTTGCGGCAGCAGCAGCTTGATGTAGTCAGGCAGCGCGCGCACGGCGTCTTCAAGAGAGCCGCCGCGCTTCGCCTCTTGCAGTTTGTTACTGTCGGTGCTGAGAACCAGCATTTTGGCTTCGCCATTTTGTACTGAATACTGTAACAAGAATATATCGATTAAGAACCTTGGTCGCCTAATGCGCTTAGACTAGTTGCTAGACGATTGTGCTTTGGTCAAGGCGTTCACTATGTTAGCACAGAGAACCCACTAAGCGGTCATTATGATGAACCGCATAGAAACTGTTCGCGGTGGTGGAGTGGCGCAAACAATCGCCTCCCCTTCAGGACCAATTAGGGTCTGCGTCCTAAGCCCATGAAATAACGTTGAATTCGAATAACTACATTGGCTTAGTCACGGTAAGTAATACTATCTATACATACAGTATTCCAACTCGGCCATATTTTTGAAATAAATGTCAATAGCCGCGCGGTACTCACAGAATGACAACATGCGATAGGGCTGCCCACCTACAGTAATTAAATCTGCCTACTTAGAATTTCTATCTATTTTTGTGAATGTTTTGTGACTGTATTTTTTTTATTTGACAAACAAAATACTTTGTGAATGGAATATGATAAAAATGCGTGTTGTTTTGTGATTAGTAGATTTCAGTCAGTTTCAGTTACTTTAATTTCAGGTTGGCGAAGTTGCGGGCAAAAGCTGGTTTTATACAATATAATTTTCATTTCAAATAAAACTGACTAAAAATGTCAATTTTTGACAGTTAATGACTAGTTTTTGACCAATTTGACCGTAAATTATTGTAGCATGTAATTAGCTTAAGACTGTCATTCCGTTTTTTGTAAATCTGTCTTGCTTAAATAAAGATTTTATTATTATTATTATTATGTTTGTACGCTTTGGAGCTCACGGGTCAAAAGTGGCCCGGTCCTTTATAAGGCTTGCGTGGGGATACAGATCCAACACGTAGAGGCCGTTTTTATTATTATTATTATTATTAAATGACGGTCAGTCAAATTGTCTTTAGTCATTTTCAACACTAGTTCACCGACGTCCGTTCGTTACTGCGGCACATTCGTGACACCCCCGACTTTTGCATCTCGAGTGCATCCCGAGATTTGAAATTCGAAGGAAAGCTCGCGTTTCGTGTGTTTATATGAAGTTACAATACTGTATGATATACGGTAGCTTAGTGGCGCAAACATTTGCCTCCAGCTCCTCTACTAGGCCACTCACCGCCTCAATGGACTTTGCGCCTTAAGCCTATGAAATAAAGTTCAATTTGTCAGTACTCACTGCCAACGGCAGGTGGCTGCGCACGGCCAGCTCGCGCTCCTCCGCAGCGCTGATGGCCAGCCGCGCCGCGCACATCTTGCGCTCGCACCGCGCTGCCAGCTTCTGCGGGACACAAAATGAAATATGTGTTAGATTATTATACATTACATCAGATTAGGGGCAATAAATAAAAAAAAATCAGTAAAATACGGGTGACATAAACACATTATTCATCTTATAGCTGATTTTTCAATCGTCAGATACATATATTTAAACTGAAGAATAAACTTGTCATTTTGACATATTTCCCACACTGAAACTGTCAATATGCCAAACTTATTCTTCAGGTAAAGGTAATCCGGCTATTGAAAAATCAGGCCTTAGTAAGAAAAGCTAAAATTCACATAAAAATCTTTTTTGTCAGGTTGTTTAGACACCTCTCGAGATCTGTGTATAGCTGTATGCGCCCCGGAAGGAACCACACGTTGACTAAACAAAGTCAGTATGTGCCACGCAGGGTCACTCTTCAGCTGCACCTCATGCTAGCACTTCACTTTGCACGTGAACCACGAAAACATTTGAAACTTCGCAAACGTTGATGAGAGTAGCCCTGCTGCTACTATGGTTCGGTACTAATGTACAGCAAAGTAAAGTTGGAAATTTTTGTTGCAAAATCGCATATATCACTTTGACATAAGGTGCAGTTACCTGTAGCTCGGCGAGCGCGTTGTTGGCGGCGAGGCGCAGCGCGCAGTTGTGCTGGTGCAGCGCGGCGGCCTCGCGGCTGCGGCGCTCCAGCGTCTCCTCCAGCGCCAGCCGCTGCTCGTGCGCCGCTCGCAGGCTCTCTGGCGCCGCTTGAGGTGCAGTTACCTGTAGCTCGGCGAGCGCGTTGTTGGCGGCGAGGCGCAGCGCGCAGTTGTGCTGGTGCAGCGCGGCGGCCTCGCGGCTGCGGCGCTCCAGCGTCTCCTCCAGCGCCAGCCGCTGCTCGTGCGCCGCTCGCAGGCTCTCTTGCGCCACTTCCTGGATGCAAATAAACACATTGTTTAATAAGATGACTCCAAACTTATCAAATCGTCTTTAGAGATACAAGTGGGCAACAGATGTGGGAAACATTCAAACTAAGGCAACACGAGCGTGTGCACGCAGACGCTGCTCGGCCACGAGTAACTCCCAGGCCGCCTGTGCTCGGCGCGCGTTCGCTCCACGCTCGCTAATGTCGGCAGGGCCAGATCTACCATAATTATGGCTTTTTGGGCTTCAGCCCAGGGCCCCCTTAAATCCCGTGGATTCAAGAGGGCCCTGGGCTAACGGCCCCCAGGTAAGTCAAATACAAGTAAAAAATAGACGTTTATGCGAAAGAGTATAGTAGGTGGGGCCCCTAAGTAGTATTAGCACAGGGGCCCCTAAGTAGTATTAGCACAAGGCCCCCTAAACTCACGGCCCGGTCCTGAGTGTCGGTCACCACGCTCGCTAGTGTCGGTCACCTGGTAGTTCCTCTTGTCGCTGAGCAGCTGCGCCACGTGGTGCGCGTCGGGCTGCTTGCCCACGGACAGCATGGTCTCGAGCGTGTGCACGCGCACGAGCAGACGCTGCTCGCCCATGAACAGTTCCCAGGCCGCCTGCGCTCGCTAGTGTCGGTCACCTGGTAGTTCCTCTTGTCGCTGAGCAGCTGCGCCACGTGGTGCGCGTCGGGCTGCTTGCCCACGGACAGCATGGTCTCGAGCGTGTGCACGCGCACGAGCAGACGCTGCTCGCCCACGAACAGTTCCCAGGCCGCCTGCGCTCGCTAGTGTCGGTCACCTGGTAGTTCCTCTTGTCGCTGAGCAGCTGCGCCACGTGGTGCGCGTCGGGCTGCTTGCCCACGGACAGCATGGTCTCGAGCGTGTGCACGCGCATGAGCAGACGCTGCTCGCCCACGAACAGTTCCCAGGACGCTTGCGCTTCGGCGCGCGTTCGCTCAACGCACTCGCGAAGCGTGCGCAGTCGGTTTTCTAAAGACGCCTCACGTTGTATCGCTTCCTGAAAACAATTATGGAAAACGTTCAATACAGTCTTCAGGTTCGAGTAAATGAGCATTTTCAATAATATTTCAACATGGGACTAAGGTAAAAAATTCCACTAAAACAATAACGATTGTGGAAACCACATAGCCATGAGTCACAATAATAATGCCTTTCATTATCACTTCACCACCCACACAGTTTACATAATAAAACACACAGATTCCCACGGTCTGGCTCACTGGATAATTATTTAATCATTAATTGTTGTGTTTTAAATTTAACTGAGAAAGAATTACATACCTGGACGAAGTTGTTAAGCTGGTATAGTTCTTTGAGGTGTAGGGGCGTCGTCATCGTAGGATTGAAAGAGAGCTTCGCTTCTTTGCCATCGGGGTGGTATAACTTCAAGAGGGCAACCACAGGCGGGAACGTATTCTGCAATATTTTAAATTATTTTTTTCAGTATCAAATTGTTTAGCTACACCACTCGTACAATCGGATATTAAATACTTTTGGAGAGAAGTCATGTTTTGATAAGATAATGCATCTATTAATTACCGTTTAAAAGTCGTACTACGTATCTTCGATTTTTATGACGATAAAAATAATCTAAAATAACAACAAACGAAGAATATTTTACAGTAGTTACTAATAACTAGATAATGTACAGTTTGCTAATTAAATGGAATACAAAATAAGGAAAATGTACCGAAAACGAGTCTACTATTCTTTTCCATACAAGGAATGTAACGTTAACGTGCCACATAATTTGGCACGAAATTATTCCGGCGCCAAATAGGGCTTCGGCGAAATACAGACGTTTCTACACGTTACGTTTCCCTTGTTAGCGTTGTAGTTAGGTTAAGGGTCTTCGCTAAAATTCGCGCGATTGAACATTTTTCCCGTTTTCTCAACATTGTTCATTGATGCTATGCTCCTATTGGTCATGCCTTCCTCGATAAATGGGCTATCCAACACAAAAATTAATATTTTTTCGAAAAGGAACCAGTAGTTTACGTGATTTGCACGTTCAATCAAACAATCAAATTCTGCAGCTTTGCTTTCAATTCCCATGAAATGATTAGCGTTTCTATAAACGTTGACGTTTGTAGACAATGTCCCGGCTCTAACATTTTCGCGGCACAATGCGACTCACGTCACGCTGCGATTCGGCGCTTTGATGCAATATTGCACGTGTGTGGCTAAATAACAATGCTTTTATCACTGTACCGCTACTCGGCCCAAAACAAATCATAACGCTATTCGATACGATAGCATTTTTACTAATGATAAATTTAATTTTATTTGCGAAACTAAAACAACAATAGATTACCATTTACAAACTTCAATTTATCACTACTACACATACAGGCTAAGAAAGTAGTCTACAAAAATACTTAGCTCCTTTTTTTCGGAAAATCGTTAGCTTAGTATCTATGAACATTATGTGAAATACAAAAAAAACATTCTGGTGAAGTCATTTGAATAGTTCCTGCATTTTAATGACCCGCATTGTCTTTGTTAAAGTTTTAACTACAAGCCATATTTTACCAGGCGTTTGTAAACAGTTACGACTAATTTACTTGACGAACCAGAACGAACGTTGAAAGAAAAGTTAATTGCTCAAAAATATTGACCTACAAAATGTCCTGCATGCCGTGTCCATTGCATCGCAATATCATAATAACGTCGAATATAAAACTTATATCATTTGCCTATTTACAAATGACCTCATACTTGTTAACAAACAAACATGATTTATAACGTATTATCAGACAGAGCGCTAAAGTCGACAGGAATATTTAGTATACACCGTTGTCCTAATTACTATTTTATATACGTGATAGGTATTTTGTTTAATTCTTCTTCTAATCTTCTATTTTAATATGAGACCGATTTTTGTAAGGACGACATCAAACGAAACAAAATGGCATATTATGTGGTAAAAGACGCTATTTTGCAACAAAAAATATAATCTACGATGTTGTCACCTGAGAAGTGACATACAGACTTATTTAGAATATAATTCTCAGTCAGCAACATGCTTATAACAAAGAGGAACTGTAATAGAAAAGGGGGAAAACGTAGATAATAGTCTTTCAATAGGGAAAAAGTTGTATTCGTTAAGTGCCGTCTACAACAAAGTATATTTATTGTTCGTTCTGCAGAAACACAAGCACCTAAAAAATATAGAACTCACCTTCTCCGAATTGCCCACGGCATTCTCCACGACCGGTATGCCGAATTGCACCACGTCGCCAGAGAACACCTCGTGAGGCTCCTGCTCCTTCGATATCGAGCACCGGTTGTTGTTGATGAACGTGCCATTGCTGCTCTGATTGTCCTGAAAACAAACAAACATCGCGTAACTAAGGGCTAGGACACACTGATGTGATAATATGATTAATGATTGTGACATCATCTACGTCAAATTATCTTGGTTACAGTGGCCACGATTTACTTTTTTTTTTTCAGTATACGAGAATCGGTACTAAACCAAAGTCTATGTTAATTCGAACGTCATCTTTCTATAAACATACTCCGGTAAAAAACTGAATGCATTTCCAGACAATATCTTATGACTTAGCTACTGCTCGGTTGAATTCATTTGACACCTTAGGTCGATGACTGTGGGCATTGTCGCTGCATACCGACCTTGTTACTTGGTGCCATATAAATCAATTCAAATTGGTTGCAAACAACAATATGTACCTATCAATAACCGACCACATTATGTCCACTCTTAGTAAGGAACTGGTGTTGATTCTGCAAGATCATCCACAGTTAAATGTATAATATACCTTTACGTGATTATTTAGTGCTATCACTGGCATAGTTCACTGTTACACTCAAGTGAAATAGTGTAACATGCGCTTAACGTAACAATAGCATACCGAACACCTAGTGACGTGTGACAAACGACTCTTGCCGACTTCGTCGCATGTATTAAAGCGGCATTATGTAACTTATGTTTGTACACGTATCATTTTGAATATGGAGAATTACATGCAATAAGTAGCGCCATAGTAAACCAGAAGCAGAAACTTATGTTAGAGGTACAGTCAGCGTCAAATAGATCGTGACACCCAAAGTAGCCAAAAAGTTCGCAACACATATTTGCAACTATTTGACACTGACTATTAGTGAACTGATATGTAAATTCATTCAAAGTCTTTATTTCATAGTGAATCAGCGGAACGGCAACCAATCTAATAAGTATTTCAATACCCACGTCTGGTATCTCGTATAATGGCAATTTTCTCACTGAAGGACATGAGAATCATTAATATTCATAGACAACTTTTTGATGACAGATATCCAGATTCCAATGGCCTCGTGAGTTCAACGTGCTTAAAGTTTTTATACGATCCAGTTTATAGTAGGTAAGTATGTTCGATTTTCGCCGATTGCATTCTAATACAGTCTTGTATTGTATCCTTGCAACACGGCAGAACGAGACCTGGGAGCCTGTTTGTTAAATTTACATAACGTGTCACAAGTATAGTATGGATGAACAAGAAATTATTGTAATTTACAACATCAATCGTCTGAGCATATATTAACAATTTTATGATATTTATGTTTTTCGTCTGCACAACAGTATTCAGTATTGCCAGTATTGCTGATATTGAAATCAATGTCATAATCAGAACTCATTATACTTGATAAAATAGTTATTTTAACCATTCCCTATACAATCGTAACTATCTGTAATGTTGATACAATACAAAATTGTTTTAAACAAAACGGTGTTATCGCTTCAACTATTTTAACCTGCGAAGGACGACAGTAACATCCGCAATTGAATTACAGAAAATCAGTATTTATATTGTTAGCCGCTAAAAATATAGAATAGAAACTTAGCATCAAAACACCGTATGAGTGCACCTGATAAATTCTTTTGTGTGTGGTGAATTGTGCACCGTGCATCCAGTGTTTACCTAAGGACAAGTTTACATTGCATTCGTTGCAATAAGCCCGATTGTTAAAAACATATTTCGTTATGATAAAACTCCACACGCTCGTGTTAAACATAAAAAATAATAGCTTGAATTAATCAGCGATGATTACGATGCGAAATAAGTAATAAATAAAAATAACAATATAGTAAAATCGTGTTAAACAAAATAGGATCTTTTTAGTAAAGAAGGACATCAACATTATTTTGCAGAATAGTAATGTGACATGGTACGTAATTGATGTCTGTTGTGGTGTTGCCAACCTGAAAGTCACAATTTGTTGTACTGAATGGCCTTCATCAAAATCCCACACTATAGCAGCTTTCAAGTACGAAGTGTAGATAACTTAAAACAATAGATTCAGTATTGACGAGCAGAGCAAGCTGAGATCCGGTAGCGATGCAGCTGACCTTAGGAACGACCGGACACTCCAAAACGAATGTCGACTAACAACCTTAAGACTAGAGAAGTAGTTTTGTAAACTGAATCAAATTAGCACGAGACACCAGCCGCACGCGCATAGAAATCGCCTGTGGGCGGAAGTAGTGAGAGTCGAATGCGCGTTATTGGGCCTTACCACACAACCAGTCCAAGGTTCTTTCATAATTCTGAATGTAGGATGATTCGATGACTTCAGTGTCGTAATAGTACCGTCTCGTCAGCAACAAACGACCGTTTTGCCAACTCATATTTGTTTGTATAGTGATATACACGATTGAGTAAATATGTTGTTCGCATAAAGACAATAATAGTGACCGTCAAGGATATTTTAAATAATTGACAATTAACCATGCCAACCTTGACGTGTGTGGAATCACGAGATGTGAGAACTGAGTAGGTACCCGAAAGTCGCTGCGCATATTATACATGAAAAGAACGCAATTATTCTAACACAGCTCACGATTGCTCAAAGCTGTGTTTATTATAATAAATTAAAATTTATTTGTTCCTTTGATATTTGTAACAAAGTACAAATGTACATTTCAAAAAAACTTTGATGTTTGCACAATCACTGATAAATCATCATCAGCATTGATTTTATGAACAGGCAGTACAGGCACGTCTGTCGCAATCTAATTTTAAATTGTCACGTCTTGATATTGGACTTAAGTTGAAACACATGGGTATCATCATAGATATTCTTTAGTTAGATATCATCCACTTTCTTCTGAGCTGATTCTTAGAAACTATCTGTGTAATATTGTGTGAATTAAGGCCCTGAAGAATGTGAATCATTCTATTTCACTTTGCTCTAATTGACATTCTCCTTGCGATATCTGTCTGAGGATCGTAAGCCGTGACTTCATCGACGGAAACTGTTCATTGGGACTCTATTTCTCTTTGCCGGTTGTTCAAGGAAAACAACAGTCAATAGCAAGTTCCTTATTAGTAACTTGACGGCATAGTCGGATAAATCGGTTGTCTGCACCATATGGACTTATATGCCTATATCTCAATAGCAAAATGAGAATCTAATAAAGACTCAATCAAAGGACATGAGATACATACTAAATAGCAACACGGTCCATCTCAAACACTTGTTGCGGCTGCGAGTCTCCCGATCAATGACAGCGTAGTTTTTAGTTCGCTGCCTTCGTGAATGGTGTGCCATTAAAAGCAAATACTGCCTAAACCTTATCAGACGGAATGAGCATATTATTATACTAATGCGTTATAAATAGTATGTATTAATTACTCACCACGAGGTAAAAGTGGCCTTTGTCATAATAGAGCGTAGCGTGGTGTCGCGAGAGCACTCTGCACTCGAATATTGTATTCGTTGGGCTGGGCGTCGCACGATACACGTTGCGTCCAATCTGAAACAATAACATGAACCGAACATCAATACAGTGCAGCAACAGTTTAACTTTCCCCCGGGACAAACATAACCTTCACTGGTTGGGTTTTTATTGGCGGTCAAGCTGCAGATCTTGGCTACTCAGGAGTTGCAGCGGTGGGAACGAGTGGTGGGAATGGTCCCATACAATGCAACAAATGTCTTACTATCAAGCTGTATCATAACTATGATTGGTGGATATGTTTCGTCTAATATAGCAATGATGGCATGATAAATCTCAATAGGTTCAACGTTACTACATTTGCAAGTTACACAGCAAACAGGGCTACATAAAAAAAAAGATTCGTCATAAAACAAAATTCAAGATGGACAATCCGAACGAAGAGAGGATTGATCCTGGAATGGTTGAAAGCTGAACATCCAATTGACACTAATTGGCAGAGCCAAAGCAGTTAACATTGCTACAGCTATTCACGGGACGATTATGTTTAAAATATTATATCGTAGGTATGGTATTTTGAACTTCACAAACCTAATCAATGTAAAAGACTGCGCTATCATTTCTCGTCGTCATAAACACAATATTTCCACGTTAGACCAAGTCAATGTCCATGTAGTCTGGATTGTTTATAAAAACATGAACCAGAAGCAAGCAGACTTTCTAGGTACCATGAAACCGGCTGTGCTGTGGCAGGCCTATTCTCTGTTTGTACTTGCGTTGTAAAAACCTTGCAACCTTTTAATGGATAGGCCTATCATACGCAGTAGTAGCATTCGCACGCCTTTTACAAACAACATGTCTATTTTTGTCGACAGATTTATGTATAGGTATCGCGTAATAGAGATACTTTTCTTGAATGGAGTTTATGTAGCTGTATAAAAACATGACCATTGTACATAAGGGGAAACAAACAGTTGTGATGATTGCATTGGATAACGGAAGACACCATCACAGTTCACAGAAGTAGGTGGATGTCTCGATTGCATAATACCTTTGTTATTGACTCAAATCACGTTTACGTTACATTCATAATTACCCTAACACACGCACCGCATCTATTGACTCACTGTCCGTACTGATGCCTAGCCTTATGGCAGGGAACATAAATACCAGAACGGTATTGAAATTAATCGTATTGTAAGTATACGCCGTGTGGAAATGGAAAAGTAACAGAGCTATTTTAGGGCAAGAAGTGCACTTATCAGTCTAATGTATTATCAGTTTACCAATAATAAATACAAATTATAGGTAGGTAGTACCAAAAATAACTAGATATGAATCATACGCGCGTCCAGCGTATCCGGAACATCAACAGTAGTTCTTTCTTAGTTTTTGCACTATAGAAAGAAATTCTCGCTAATCTCTAGGAAAGTGAGAGAAGTTTAATTTAAACCGATAACCTTATATCGCAATCAATAAAGCCGTTCGTCAATCGCAGACAGCGACAATACAGTATTGTTTAATCGCATATTTCCTGTTCAAATAACATGAAACTGATAATGTTTCCGTCTAGCCCACGGCAGATGCGCGGTCAGAAATAGCATAATTTAATCTCATTGAATTTAATTGCCAATGCACAATTGCCGTCTCGAGCACCTCGGGTCAGGCCAGGCTGAGTCATGCGTCCACACACCCTCGCCTCAGACTGGCGCGGCTGGATTGCATACAAAGTGACTTATAGATAAATGCATAGGATGCGACGCAATTGGAACTGTTAAGCAGGGCTGCGAGACGCCCGCCTCATTTAACACTTGTTGCTTGGAAATTCTTTTGTAGTTAATAATAAATAAATCATACTGTCATTGATTAAATTCTTTAAGATATTGATATACAGATAACAGAAGATCAAAGGGCCGCTCTGGCGGCTCCGATTGTTAAAGTTTATCATCTTCTAAAAGTGAAGTACATAGTTAAATAGGCTTTAATATTTTTACACCTGTGCACACTGCTGCTGTATATTATTAGCAATGTATAAATGTAATAAAGTTTGATTCATTAGTTATTTAGTTACATGGGGTGAATGAAATTAAGATGCAAAACAATATCCATTTGTCTGATAAGTATAAATAATAGTACCTAATAAAAGTTATTGTTCTGCAGTATGATTGTGATCATAACTTTGCCAAGTGATGAGACAAGTCTACAGAGGTCATTGACTTGACTGAAGTGTCTATACCTGCCTATATCTGGATAACCCATTGGAATTATCTATTTCTATAGTACTGATAGTGATAAGATAAAGATAATAATCTATCAAAATTGAAAGTAATAAAATTTATACATTTTGAAACAAATTGCAAATTAAAAATAGTAAATAGGCATAATACTTATTATTAGCCCAAAATCATTAAGTACTAATACTATTTAAATGTCTGTCAGTTTGTTGAAATTATTATTTTTCTTTTTGTTGATGGTGATTGAACTTGCGTTGTTTTTCGAATGAGGAAGAACAAATAAAGAACAAAACAAAATAAAAAACAAAATAGTGAACGAACAACAAATAAAGAACAAACAAGAACAAAATAGTGTCTGGGACCCATAAGAAACTTCAAAAGGGTAGAAGTCTGTTTGTTGTCACATAGGTACCTACATGGACCTATAAAAAAAGGCGGACGGAACTCGCGCTACAACAAAACTGTGACGCAAAATTTTGGCGTTTGTCTATTGTGTGAGTGAATTTAGGGATGCCATGTTAGCCAAAACATTTTACCCATTTATTTTAAGAAAAACATAGATCGGCAGATGTTACTTGGAAATGTAGACAGAATTATTCCGTGCCATTTTAAAAGGATGAAAGGTGAATGCGTTGAGGTAGGCGCGAAATTTTCAATGTTCAAATTTTCTTACATTGTTTGCAAGTCAGTGTGTCAGGGTATGTACATAATGTTGATCAAAAATGATTCACGCAGTTACAAATTACGAATCTTGTGTTATTGTGTACATTAAAATCATAATCTTATGCATCATCAATATATTATTATTATCTCTGATAGATTTTTTTTAACATACAACCTGACACTGACTTGCAATCAATGTAAGAAAATTTGAATTTTGCAGTTCCACATTTTTGGGAAGGATCAAATTTGCGTATGAAAATATATCCCATTAAAACACAATTATTATGATAAATTATTTTATTTCCATAGTATGCGTAATAAATAACTAAAAAGTCCTAAAATTATTATTAATTTCCCATATTTCGGGTAATTTTCCCACGTAAATAACTGAGAACACTGGTCTTTGACGTATTATTTTTTCGAGTGAATGACGTTTGATTTCAATTAATTTCAATATTTTAATGTCGGGAAATAAGTGATTGGATTATTATTTTGCCTGTGAAATGTGATTCCTTAATTTTTGTTTGTTCGAACAGAACGGTTTTTACACAATTTCATCACACAAGACATGTCGTATTCGTGTTGTTTTTTCGCTGCTTAAATGTGTCAACTGTGTGAAGTTTGCACTCGAAGTGATGTATCAGGGTGTGAATGTGTGCGTGCCGGCCTGTACGTACAGGCAAGCTGGTGTATCCTAATGTCACAGTATTTTGTTGATGAGAATCCGTCCGACTTTTTTTATAGGTCCATGGGTACCTATATGAAAATAATCTACTTATCAGATTTGAACTATCATTTAAATGTGTTTTAGTGTGGAAATCTTTGTGAGTAAAATGCTATTATTTAAAATAATATCAAATGATAAAATATCTTAAGTGCCAGGAGATAAAACCTTAAAAAATAGCATGATAAAGATCTGTTCCTCTTGTTAGAGATAGCCAGTAAAGGAAAAAAATAAGTAGGTGAGTTAGCTAATGCAACAAAAATTTACAATTTGATCACATGACTAAATCACAACAGATTACCAACATTTAACTTAGTATGGACTTCTTCTGATAGTAAAATTTTACTCATATTTCCCTTCTTAACTGCTTATATTTAGAAGATAAATAAATACATCAAATAGTAGATGATCTATGTTATCTAGTTTGACAAAAGAGCAGCGCACTTGCTCAGGCATTAGTAATGGCATACTCAAAAACACTATGAATACCTATAAACACTATAAAATGGTCTTCAAACTTCTGGTTCAATTATTATACTAAAAGCAGTATTTATAAGTTTAAATCTTAGCAAAGGAAACAAGAAGTCCATAACGACACAGAATACATTTTCTATTGGTAGTTGGTACTAGGTTTAGGTATCGTCTGTTTTGGTTTGTCACCTTAGTGTAGGCTCTACTACATTTTTGCTATCAGTGATAGCTGAAAAAAATATGTTGGTTTAAGTATATCTTAGTACTTTTACATTTTCAATAAATGTAGCAGACGTCCAAAATCTACCATATGCTTTCATGCTTTGTGATAACACTTGAATAAATAAACATGACCCCTAGTTTCTGAATTGAGATTTCTAGCTTGACTGTGCTCATTTTTACATAGGTACGAACAAAATACGAAAGTTCATACATTGAAAATGAGCTAAAATATCAATTCAGAAACCGGGGGTAACTTTTTAATTTTGAACATGGGTTTAAAAAACTCTAATTTCAAAAAGTATTCAATAGTTAAGTTAATTTTGTGAAATTTGTATGGTTTTGAAATAGTATAATGATAAGTTATAGCTACTATGAGCAAAGTTAAGGAAACTGAAACAAGATAATAACCTAAAATTTTTAAATGTTTAGTTGTGGAAATTTTTACCTTGACTGGCTGTTCCAAAGTAACCCGCCTTTCATCAAATGGCAACGAATTTGAATGAGGAATGAAGACTGCCCTGGGTACACCCACGTCTTGGTTGTTAGGTGGATCTGGTCCAGGTGTCCAATTGTAATCCATATTCTTTATCGTGTTGTTCATTATTGGTTTAACTTTCTTGCTCTTTGCTATCACCATCGCATAAACCGCTCCCTGGAGTCAGCATCCGTGCCCCGTACAGCAACAAACGAGCACCACATCGAATGGATTTATAAGCAATCACTTGCTATGGCGAAAGATGAACACTATTCACTGCCATCTTGAAGTCTAAATTAGCTCGAATACAACAGCAAAACCTTTAATAAAAACACCTCAAAAATATTGTTACACTGGCAAACTGAAACACCATTATTTATGAAACTTGATTCCTTTTCCTTTCGTCGACGTATCGACGAATATTTTAATTTCAAGGAAACTTCCAATTGTTACAAAAACGACTATTAATTAAAAAACAAGAACTATTTAAAATTATACCTTCGCCCGATTTTCTAAATTATTTCGTTACGAAAAGGCGTTTAGTCGAATTTCTCATTTGAGGAACTTACGAAATGGGCCATGGGCGCAAGAATCACTCTCTAATCTGTGCAAGAATCGGACATTTGTTTTGTTGAGTGAGGGAGTGAAATATTCAATCGCTATTCAGCTGTTCGCTTCTTTTTTGTTATGTCAATCGGATAAATACTTCGTGATTTCTGTGAAAATATCAAGTGAAATTAATATTATTTGACTTGAGTGTGTCTTCTCCATCGTCAAAAAGCTGAATGTTATGGCCCATACACCACAACCAGATGGGCAAATCATGAATTGTCGGCGCATCACGATATGCCCGGGCACATCACAATGTGGCTTATCTAACGATCGGTCCACGACAGCTATTCCAAAATAAATGTATTGAATATCACAGCTGCCCTAGGTTCCATAATATTTAGCATTTAACACCGAATTTATAAACGCTTACCCAAGACTCATAATACCCCTTGCCTTACGTCAGAGGCTGAAATGGGTTGGACACTGAATTGGGAATATCTCTAAATACGGGGCAGAAAGCAAGACTTAGGGCATCTCAAGCTTGACCACCCAGCAGTGGCGTAGGTACTAAGGTAACCAAGGGCCTTGGGGAAAATAAAAAAATGGGGCCCTACTACAATCTAAACTGGTTAGGTTTTATCAAGTTTATTGACATTATGCTTGCTTTCCTGTGCCCCGATTGCGCCAAATATTTTCTACTACAATGCGACTAGTAGACGACGAACGAAAATCACAAATTCGTATCGCGGTGTCCCTTTGATAGCTATTTCAAACGAAAACAAAACGCAACTGCTTCTTTGTGTAAAAGCTGAAAAAAAGCTACTTTTTCTCATACGCAAGTTAAACGCCTTCACGAACATTTGCTGTTTTAGTTTTAGTGAAATAATAAGGTGTTCGGACTTTTAATGGAAAATGCTTAAATCCGTTGTTTCGTCTTTGTTTGCGCGTGAACTTTACCGCGATATTACCGAATAGCACATCAAGTGGAATGAAAATGGAGTATGGACTAGAGATGAAACGCGAATGAATTTAGAGATTAATCAAAAATTAAAAAAAATACAAATTAGCGCAATCGGGGCACTGATACAGCATTATGTTTTTAAACCGTTCTCTTCCCTTCTCTTCACAATAAACCACCCGGCACCCGGGGCGGCACCCCCCCCCCCCCCAACCCCCCCGTCATTATATAAATTTAGCCTAAGGCACCCCCCCTGTCATGATGTCATGACATCACGACCGTCCTTGCCATGCAGATGCGTCAGTGAGTACTAATCTGCGCGACTTTGTCACCCCCTGATGCTTGGCACCCGGGGTTGGCCGCCCCCCCCCTTACGCCGCTACTGAGTACAATTGAGATTTTCTGGTAAGGATTCGGGGCCCCCTGAGTTTGAAGGCCCCGGAGCACTGCCCCGCCTAGCCCCTTAGTAGCTACGCACCTGCCACTAGAGATGGGTTTCCACCCGGGTAAAAACCCACATGAGGGTAAAAACCCAATAAAAACCCGTTTCATTCCACCCGTGGGTGTTTACACCGGGTGAAAACAAATAATTTTATAATTATTTCAATTGGTATCTTTTCTTTATTTTTATTGAATTTTTCTCATTTAAGTTTATTGATTAATAAGTAATAAGTGTAATTTAACACTAATATGCATTTATATCGTGGCCAAATCGTAAAATTGATCACGTTATGATGATGTGACCAATTATTTTATAAAATGGTGTTATTTCAAGAATCGTTGAACCGATTTAAAAGAAATTTAGTAGGAACACAATAATTTGTGATCATGGCAAGGACATGGAGGGGGGGATGCCAAAGATGCCAAACACTCTCTTTGATGACATTACGGTATAAAGTTACAAATAACAACACCAACTACAAAGTACTTCTGCTTAAAAATTTGAAATCGACCGCCCTTCCGCCACTGTAACGCATTGTAACGTTTTTCAAGACCTCCTCTCCCCCCAGATTGCATTACGTAACACTAGAACGCCCCCTTAGCAACAAATACCATTTCTCACTTTAAAAAAACGCTATTTTTGTTTTCACCCGCCAGAATGGGTGATAATGGGTAAAAACCGGGTTTTTACCCAAATCACCCGGTTTAAACCCAATCGGGTGAAATGGGTTTTTACCCACTACCCATCTCTACCTGCCACCCATACGTTAAAAACTTAACAAACAATAAAACACTCATTACTAATTTTTGCTGACGTAATTAAACTTAAATAAATATAATACTGATTCTTAAAAATTCAAATCAGTTCTTTATGCCTGACCAGGAACATAAAAACCCTCGCCATGTTGCGGAAAACTAATGGTACTAATTTCTTTTAATGGCAACAGTAACTGAAAACTTCATTGACATGTCACCTTGCATGTCAGTCTATTGCTGTCAAAGTATAAACAAACTTTATTTTAAATGTGCGCAATTGATTTCGTGAATTAAATTGCTAAAATCTTTTTATAGTCGTGAAAGGAAAGTGGTTCACAATGTGTTAAAGTATTTGTCGAAGAGAAATACTAAGGGTTCGGACAATATTTTCATTGATTAATGTTTCCGACAAAGGTTTTTTTTTTTAATTTTTTTTTAATGGTTTTTCCGACAAAGGTTGTCAAATTGACTGACATGTTTATCATATAGTACAGTCCACTATGAAAATTAGCTGTGGTTTGTTTCAACTACCTATTTTAAAGATTTTTGTCACTTTCTAAGTGTTGAATTTTATGGAATTGGGAAAGAAGTACCGAGTTTGAAGCGTTCACGAGCAGACATTGCAGTTGAATATTCAAGTTCTGAATTTGATTATTGATGAATAATAAAATAAATCCTACCAGCTCGATTGATGGTTTCATTTAATTTATTTAAACCAGGTTACCTATATAATCTTTATTCGTTAATTTATGAAAATATCAAATTAGGACGTAATCCTGAATCCTGATACATAAAGTTAGCCTATTAATTTAACACAGGTACGACTGTACTTAGTGTTGCACTATCAAATGCAATTGACGCGCCTCTATGCCAGGGTTTTTATGTTCCTGGTCAGGCTATATATTCATTCATTTTAAATGAGTGAGATTTTCCGTCCGGTGCCGATGCCGCGATGGCGTCTCCTTCGAAAATACTCCTCTTATAATAATATCACTTGATACGTAAATTTAAATACCTGTTCCAATACAGAAGTACTAGGAACATCACTATTTACACAAAAAGACCGGTAAAATACTTACACAACATTATCAATATGGCAACACTTACATATTGCTATCCTTTTCATATATTCGAATGTCACTATCTGCATCTCCCTTTGTTCTTGGTGTTACAAGTTTTTGACGAAATATTTATCGTTTTACACATTTCAGTAGAGATGGCGCTGTAAACTTAGAAAGGAAGCAAAAAAATCGAAACTGCTTGTCGAGTATGATTGAGCCATTGCAACGAAAACGGTTTTCTGCCTCGAGTCTTGTGTGGATTGTGTTTGTCTCGTGTGTGTTATTTTTATCGAACTAAAGTGCAATTTTTTGTGTAAATTTGTGATTTGTAAGTACACTACATGCATTTTTACATTTGTATTTGATGTAAAGAGTTATTTTAGAGAATTTTAGGGGCAAATTCCTCGGTTCTTTTCAGATGTTCAATATGGCCGTTCTTTTAGATTATTTGTTCATAACTTGAAGACCTAGCGGCTAGTAAATTCTTTGAATTAATTTTGATGAGGGTCTTAGAGGCAGCCCCCTGAATAAAGCAGATTTTTTTTAACGTTACGTTGATGTGGCAAACTGACAGTAACCCTATTGGATTTGACGTTTGATTTCTGACTCATTTTACTGCAGTGCTCGGTTTTATTATTTTTGCGCATGATTTTTTCAAAACGATGTTGTCTTCTGCACATGTAAAATCTTTTCTTTAGATTTTTAAAGATACTTGTAAATGAATTTAAAACTTCAAAAATAATCCCTTACACCAGTTTTACTACGAAGTAAAGGTTAGTGGTGTCAGTTTTTTATTTGTGAACTAGCCGTAGACCGCAGTTTCGTTTGGGTAGGTTTCAGTGCGTCTAAGAAAGAATATCACGCATCTATACGTATTCTATTTAATTTTTTGTATTCAGAGTTTATAGATGGTGGAGAAACATAGAAATGGGGTCAATATTTCCCTAGATTACCCTCCTTCATAGACATTACTAACAACAATATTTTACTCTTCTAGTAAATAGGTTACATAAAAACCAATAATATCCTCACGAGGCATAACACACAGATTTTAAAATGTGCAACCTACGAATACAAATATTCTGTCTGCCATAAAATTTGTAAACAAAATCAACTAAAATAAGTTTCTTGGTTATGTTATAAATTAGTTTAATCATTGCAAAGAACAAGAGAAAGCTCAACAAGCACTAGTAGGACTTCATTTGCAGCACCTGTCAAAATATAGCTGCCCTTGAACTGAAGCCATAGTAGTTTTGATGGGCTTAAATTACATGTTTAATAGCAAACTTTAAATTAAAAGAAACCTCTCAAATAAGATAATATCATGTTAACTTTAGATGATATTTATTAGTAGCATTTTTTTGTTAAATATAAAATAACATGACTAAAGATAATTCATTAAAGCATCAATTTGTAAAGGAAATAATAGATAAACAAGATAAGAAAATGGTCTAATAAAGTTGAATTTTCTTAGCTCACATCAATACATATAAAATAATAAGGCTGAGTGGTACATTACACCACCTACATTGACCGTAAATATTACGATAACCAGTGTATTTTGCATGGTTTGACACATTTTTGATGTTTGTTAAAGTCAAAGTAAGATGGTGCAACCCAGCCTAAGTCTACAAAAAGAGGTTGCCGATAGTGACCAAATTTCTTTCACTGCTGCTTTCTGCAGGCCCCTCTTTCCCACTGGGCACTTGGGGCACGTGCCCAGGGCCCCGTGACCGAGGGGGCCCCCATCTACTAATAAGACCTTTTTCCAGATGATAAGGGCCCCCCTTAATCCTTAAATGTCCAGGGCCCCTAATAGGTTAAAGACAGTCCTGGCTTTCTGTCGTGAATGACTGATAGGGTTAAAATTATACTGGAACATGTAAAATGCTTTTTAAAAACTTAAAATAGTCATTTATTATTGTCATATCACTTTTTTTGCATGCAACTAGGGCTTTCACAGGTTCAATTCAAACAAAACCAAATCCAAGTGCAAGCCAAATTAGTTGAACCTAGAGATTGATAGACAACAACTCTGTAGTGTAATAATTTTGCATATAAGCCATATACCTACAATATCAAAGCAAATAAGTCCAAACATCCTATATGTTATGGAAAAAAATATAAATGAACTGATCACATTATATCTACCATTACATAATAAGTCATGATTAGTAAACTGTAAGTCGTATCAGTATCAATCATTGATCAGATAATTTATTAATTGTGTCTGTCATGAGTTAAAAATATTTTCTTAATTTTAATTAACTGTTAATATTCAGACCTAATAATAGAGTAGACTTTATAATGTCACTCAATTTAACAATAAACTCCTTAAAACCATCAGTGCCGGTGTATCATTTTTGCACACGCTTGCTATATAGCATTGGTTTGCGCTGAGGGTGTTAAAAAGATGAATTGGCTTGATTTTACTTGGATTACCTTGTTTTCTCTCCATACTGTCTCTAATTAACGTCCACTTTACATTACATCAAATAATTGAGTCCCTTAAGTGACATTTACATAGTTTTTAACTGTATTGCCAAAAGTTTTAAAGTGTAAAGTTTGCTAGAATTATAAAACCAAGTTGCTATGATACATGGACTCACTCGTTATGTATAAATAAATTTAGGAATATATGGTATGTTGTTGAAGATATTTGTCACTATGTGATTGTTTTAAGCTTCAATCACACCAACGCGTGCTGATCGCCATCGCTGGGCGCGACCAAAGGCCAATGAAAGGCGAGAGCTAGACCCATGACAGTCCAGCTTTTCTCTTTTCTGACTGAGCATTATTTTTTACTAAAGTTTGTCACATTAACTTAAAAGTAATGTTTTGTCAAGTCTGCTAACCCGTAAATTTCTCTGTGGCAGAATCTAACAAAAATTGGGATTTGTGTATGTGTAATTATTATCAATAATAGACCTTGTTGTCTTGTGCTAGATATTTCTCACAACTGTACATTTTAATTTTTTTCTTTTTGTCCATAGGTGTGAGAATGGCAACGGCACAACCGCCGTCGCCCGCGTGAAGTTGTAAGACTCTAGTGCAGTGAACTTAAGGGACCGCCGCCTCAGCGCCATCCGACCACGATGAAAATGGTGTTGTCACAACGGCAACGAGAGGAGCTGTAAGTAAAGCTATATATCAAGTAAAGAACTGTCATTCTGTCGGTATGCTAACCCTTAATCGGACAAGAAACTTTATTTCCTTTTTTTGGACCTTAACATAAGGTACATTAAAGTTCAAAATAATGTGGATACTCAGTAGAGTATAGTAGTAACCATTGACCGCTTGAGGGTTAAAAATGTGAAGACCTTATTTTGGATCAACAGGGCTCTACTCTGAGCCCATGTTCTCCTGAAGACTGAAAACTGGGTCTATTAAATTATTTAACTTAATGTTCTCGTCTAAAATCTGAGGTAAAAATATTGAGATCTAGCTTAACTGCACTGGACTTCGTCCTATACATATAAAAAAGAAGGGTCCGTGGCCGAGTCCCCCAATGTTCGACGCACCCGTGGTCGACGCCCCCGATTTAAATTAATTTAATATCATATTTTTTTCGGCTTTTGCACTAAGTACAGTCAACGAAAACTAATGAAAAAACAATGATTTTGCATGTTTACTGTTGTTATAAGCTAACTGACGGAATAATTAAAACTCTTGCCTTTTTACCTAGGAAACATCCCTATTCAAGCTTAACCGTAATGTAGGTTGACTCTTCTCTGAAATTAGTGAAGTCGTACAAACGGCGCCACAGCACGTAAAATATCTGCTGTGGAAAATCAGGGTACTTATATCAACTTTTCTGATTGATTACGTTTGTTGATAGAGGTGCAACCAACAATAATGTTAGTGAGTTTGTACGGTGCAATAAATAATTGAAAGTCTAAAAACGCATCGTCGGCAACACATAAAAGAGTTCAAATTCGAAAACAACACATTATTTACGGACAATGCGCGTTTCGGCTATCATTATTAATGAATTCGTTTGAAACACTGAGAGTGAGCACAAGTTGCACTTGACCCAGTTTTACCGATTCCATTTTATAGTTACTTTTGTCTTTAATTCGTAAATAATAAAACTCACTGTAAATATTGGGCATTTTTAAAACAGAAAATGAAAACGGAATTGACTACTGGATGAGCAAACAACTAGTTCGCAAAAAACTATACCTTCAGTACTCATCAACTAGAAACAATCCAATTTTTTCAGCTTCTGAATTTGGCTAATTGAAAATATGTTTAGAGGCGACAAGGTTGAAGCGATGTTGCAATTGTTAGCACTGCTTTTATGAAAGTGATGGCTTAAAATACTTTTCACAGTATTGATCTATTGTGAAATTTTACTTCTGTAGTTTAGATTATTCGTAATAATTCTTAATTAAATTAAACTTGCGTATACTTTTTGAGCTAATGTAAAAATAGTCGGCAAATAACTAGATTTCGAACATCAATATCATCCATAAATGTAGCCGTGTTAGACGTCGGTCTTCACTGCAGTTATGTTTGTTTGTGTAACCGTGTTTAACGATTAACTTCCTTCCGCGTTGTCTAGTTTTTATTATCTCCATTTACCTACTTTATGAATATCAATTTCATTCATTCTAAACCAATCGCGAGGTCTCTTACACCTGAGTATGTTTTGTTCCGTAACAGGATTTTGAGAGGTCCAATATTTAGTTAAGTAACATAACTAACTATAATTAAACTTTGATTAATTACTCATTATAACAGTTTGAACAAGTAAAGTCAAATGCATGACATGTTCATCTAACTAAAGATATTTCTAGCTATATTAGGTACCTACTACAGAATGTACGTACAAAGGATGACCTTCTTATTATTACTCATGTTAATTTTGAAGCAATATTTAGTGTCCTAGCAGTTAGTAATGTTTATTATTTCTTGCGCTGCTTCTTCTGAGCACTGGCCCATTTATTGTCCTGAAGCAGTGGTAGGGTTAATACTGGGACATGTAAAAGTGCTTTTTTAAAGCCTACTTCCAGAAATAAATGAGTTTTACTGAGTTTTATTGTTCGCCAAAAAGATGGATAATGATCGCTTTTTATACATACATATTACTAATATTCAAAAGTCTCTTGTATATTAAAAAGGGGTTAAAAAGTGATTATAATATTAATAAATAACCCTCTTTCTGGCGTAGTCGGGTACAGATTACGCTTTTGTCGTCGGTCCCCATTGTGGTGGTATGTGTGGCAGTACATGGCAGTAGCTGTGTTTCGGCCCGACCTGCGCGCTGTCGACCTTTGAAAGTAACAGTGTTCTTACAGTTTTCAAGTCGTTGACCCGGCTTGTGGCGCCTCACACTTCTACTTGGTGATCAACTTTCAAACACCCAGAAATCCCACCATATTTTACCCAAGCTTATGACATCATAATTGCCTGTAATCTTTTACGAGTGATAATTGCTATCGACAAACGATTGTCACTAAAAATCGGAGATAATCATGACACTTATCTACGAATGCATAAAAACAAAATTGCTCAGTTCAATTTCGTTACAAACAAGACGCCGAGTAGGTACGACCTATTACGAATTCTATTCCGTATAATTTTCCCATTCGTTGTCTCTTGTTTCGATCGTGAACTATAGCCCAAATGCCCTATCATGCCTTGTACCTTGGTACCCTTTGCGTTCGCTCAGCCGAAGTGAAAGGAGAGCGATCCAGTCGACACTTATCTAAACAAAGATGTGGGCAAGCTGTTCACACGCTATTGTTGCTCGAAAATTAAACGCGTCCAAGGTGTAACCTGTCAAAATGAGCACGTTAGACTTACGTAATCTAATTAGATAAATGTGATCCCACCAAAAACATTCTGTAAAAAATTAGCCAAGTCTCGATGGAGCTGCCTGTTTATCTCTAAAAAGTAATGAAATCTAGACAAAGTCGTGCCAAGTCTATGGTTCCTCACTGCGATTTCTTTATTATTATATTTAATGTTGTGTGACTTGGCCGTTGAAGGGTACCAAACCAGATGCTCCATGACACCATTGCACCAATCTGTCGCCAAATCCGCTACCGCAATGGGTATGGTTTTCCAAGTGCAATTTATTTTCCATCGTCAATACGATGGAAAATAAATTGCACTTGGAAAACGTTGATGCAATAACCAGTCAATTGTAGGCTTAATAAAGCTGCGTATTTCAATAATACTTAAATGTATGATTATCTTAATAAAGATTGTTCAACGGCCAAGTCACACAACATTAAATATAATAATAAAGAAATCGCAGTAAGGAACCATAGACTTGGCACGACTTTGTCTAGATTTCATTACTTTTTAGAGATAAACAGGCAGCTCCATCGAGACTTGGCTAATTTTTTACAGAATGTTTTTGGTGGGATTTCACTTCTTTTTGTAGAAAGTGGCATAATTTTTTTCTACGATATTAAACACAAATACACTCAACGACCTTTAAAATGGACAACGAAACAGAAATTGTTTTAATAACAAGTGCCACGCCATCTAGCGATGAGCGGTACAGGCGAACACCACGGTTGCCGGTGTGGCGCTAGTAGTATTGATTGTGAATGTGGTGTTACTCCAGATCTTCGATTTTCCTAGTTTTTATAGTTTTCCCTTTATGTAGTCATTAAACCCTAACTCTGTACCAAATTTCAACTCTCTGAGTTAATGGGAAGTACTAGTTCTATTTTGATGATCATCAGTGAGTGAGTGAGTGTCGTAAATGCGAAACTTTGCTTTTGCTTAACTTCGGAACTAAATGACCTACAGACTTGAAATTTTGGATTTTAAGTATGTGATTATAGCTTACTAGATGACAAAAATTTCTGCGTTCTGGTCTTATCCAGAGGTTCTCAAATAGAGGCCTGAAAATGCGGCGAAATGGTTCCAGTAAAGATGGTACGGCAGTGTTTGCTTCGCGCTCGACTTGGCGGGGGCACTGCCGTGCCCCCAGATTAGGCACTCGACAATATTGAGGTTTACTTTCTACATAAGTCATGTGTGCCACATTTGAAAGCTAGAAACTTCTTCTTTCTACATTTTGTAATAGATTCATTAAAACTCTGTTGTTATAATCTATATTTCAAGCTTTTATTTAAGTAGCAATAGTTGCAATGATGGTTGCATTTACTACCTACCAGATAAACTTGTCACAATAAAAGCTAACTTCTGGTGGGTTTAACTGTTTGCTGAAGAAAGGCATAAGGAATAATTTTATGAAGGAATAAGAATTGGCAATTGCACAAAAAATACCTCGTCAAATCCTGTAGCTCCAAAAAGCACTGCACTCGCAAAAGTAGCACAGCTTTTTCCATAAATCATCTGTGAATTCACTTGTATCTTCCTGGTTTTGAACAGTCACAGAAACCACAGAATACATAATTGTAGCAGAAACACGGGGAGCATTTGTGATTCCGTTTGAATTTGCTCCGTTACAAATCGGGGTCATTGAACGCGTGTGTTGATTAAAAATAACGATCACAAATTAAGAGCAACAGACTCATTTTGCCAAATACCTTGACTAATATAAGATTAATGTAACAGATCTGTTGTGTAATACTCTGAACGCACGTCGGATAAGCTTTGATCCGCTGCATTTGCAGTATCTAAATTGATAATTTTGTTAAGNGTGTATTTTCGAAAGTTTCCATTTATCCTTAAAGTTATCCATTCCAATTCCATTCAGCGAATTCCCATAAAGTGGTTTAACATAACAGTTAGCTATTCACAAGTTATAATATCGTAGAGCTTTTAACTGCATTACCCATTGCAGGTGGCTTCAACTAGAGTCGAGTCTCTCTACAGGTTTTTAACAAGTAGAAAGCAGGTGCTCTTTATTGATCAAATGATCAGTAGGTATAACACCAGGCAACTCGCCTTGCGTTCGGAATTCTCATTACATTCATACATATTAAGATCTTAATGCCTTGCTAATTAGTAGCTTTTATTTATGAAACCCAGATTGCCATTTTTAACTAGATTTTGAGCAATGGCCACTAATATACAAAAGAATAACAGTGAAAGTGTACCAACAACCACGTGCATAATGCTTCTAGTGTAATGTTATTCAAATTAGTTTGGTGATAACAATCTCCGCGGCCGGCCTGAGACCTCCCATTGGTTTGAATGAAGCAG